TCAGAAGAAGTTAGTTCCACAGTTGCTTCAGGAGAGCTTATTGATGTTTTAACTGGTACTGTATCAATAGCGTGTAGTTTAGGGGAAGGTCCTTAATTAGCTGTTCTAAGTATCAGGGACTGATAGGTGAATCACTTCTGATAAATTCATTAAAAAGTCTCCTAATTCCATCCAACTACCTTTCCTATAGTTCTTACATATTAGTCTACTGATACGAATTTCCCTTCCTACAGGAGAATGTGATGACTGCCTCATGAACAACATCTGTTGAGCAGCTATGTATCTGATTGTGATTTAGGAAATCTATTTTCTGTTAAAAGTCAGTTCCATGTGAGCTCGGGTCCTGTGGGACATCTCCAGAAACTGCATTATTTCTGTCAAGACTTAGACTATCCCAGTGGGAGACCAGGCCCTGGAACAAAGGTAGCCACAGCCTGGCTTACACTCTGCAGGGATCCAAATGGGAGTGTCTGTCTCAAACAGCACTGCTGACATCAGAACCTGCACTGTGTTTGTAAGTGGATTCAGAGCCCAATTGCCATGAGAACTAACCAAAGGTATTTCTTCTACCATTTTAATTTATGGAAGTTACACAAAATGTCTGAAAACATAGCAGCCAAGATAATGATTTTAAAAGATAGTCTTGGGGTGCCTGACTGGCTCAGTCAGTAGAGCATGCAACACTTGATCTCAGAGTTTTAAGGTCAAGGTCCACATTGGGTGTAGAGATTACTTAAAAATTAAAAAAAAAAAAAAGGCACCTCAATGGCTTAGTCAGTTAAACGTCTAACTCTTGATCTCAACTCAGGTCTTGAACTTCGCGTTGTGAATTCAAGCCCCTTGTTGGGGTCCACACTGGGCATAGAGCCTACTTAAAATAAAATTTATTATTTTTTAAGTAAATAAAAGATATTCTAAAACCCCAAAATGTAGACTTCCTGAACATGAGTACGGTTCAGCTAGGTGAGCAGAAGGGCTCTTGAAGGACATGTAACACCCTAAGTGTGAATAGCCTTTGTGTGATTATATTATGTTTAAAGTCCAAATAATTTTAAGTGGAGGAGGCAGGGATACTGTATCATTTTCTCACTTACATATTTTGCATGCTGCAATTTTATTTTACATTCTATGACATATCTTAACAAGTCTTCTCATTGAATGGAAAAATAATTTGGCTATACTCGGCTTTCATAGTAAAAATGTGAAATTTGGAGAACATGAAATATAAAGAGAAACCAAGTTCATTATATAAACAAAGAGTATTCAAATATCTTTATTTTGACACAGGGAGTGTAAGAGAGGAAAAAGTAATAATTGAATATTTACTAGATGAAATGACAGTTTAGGGAGGAATGTTTTGTAGTTTACCCAGAATTAAAGAATATGTCCAGGGGACGCTGGGTGGTAGAGTTGGTTGGGCATCCAGCTCCTGGTTTCTGCTCGTGTTGTGATCCCAGAGTCATGGGATTGAGACCTGAGTCAGACTCAGTGATCAACAGGGAGTCAGCCTGGGATTTTCCCTACTTCTCCCTAGGCCCCTCCCCTCTCTAAAATAGGTAAATTAAAAAAAAAAAATGCATCAAGTACTTCTTAGATTTCTTGTCTTTAATGAGCTATGTATAACATTTTACAAGTCTTCAGATTGTTACAGTTTTCAGCAGTAAATATAGTAACAATGGCAATAAATACAGTGAACTGTGAGATTCCTCTGTTGAAATACAAAAGATAGAAATACTCAGAAACAAGGGCAATCTGTCAGCTTAAGGTCTGAGACGGAAATGAACATGGTCACATTCTTTACAAGCCAGTACGCGGCTAAATGAGTAACTTATTCGCTATAAATGAATACAAACTTTGAGCTTCACCTTTAGGGAAGTTTTGGGGGACATTATTTGATCCACAGATTCCTAAAACTCTGTATGTATTGATATCAGAGGACTCAAACACAGAAAGTGATCTGAAAATGGTTGCCAGCGCAAAGTGGCGCTTTCGTTCTGCAACACTTGTGACCTTCGTGATTCTGTGTATTAGAAAAGGGTGTAAACCCTGTACAACTGCATAAATGCCATAAAAATTCATTCTATAAAGTCTCAAGATCATATGTATTCAAAAATACATACAGCTGGGCTTTAGTAAACGAATCCATCAGTTAACTGAGGGATAATTTTGCTTTTAAGATATATCCAAAGTACATATACAAAGGATCCACAAAGGTTAACAATTCGTGATCAAAATTCGCAAGAGTTACATTGCAAAAAACTGTTGGTTTTCAATTTAAAAATTTAAGAAAGTTGTGAATATTGTAGGGCAATTATTACTTGGGTTAAGAAAAAGTAGATGGCTTCAGCTTTTTAACAGGAAATCTGTGAACTACTCACAAATGAGAAGTCACACACTTATCATTAGAAAAGGTAAATTGCCTATACTTCCCCATTGAGAACAGAATGTGCAGTGTATAAAAAAAATATTTTTATTCTGAAACAAAAAAAAAAAAATATTTCTATAAAAGCCCCTGGGGATACATCTCATTTCCTTTACGTAAGAATGAATAAGTGGCATACTTGAATAATATACCCTTATATCAACATATGTATTCCATCACTAAGCTAAAAGATGAAACATTTTTATTTAAAGGTGGGGAAAATATAAGCTTAAAATATTGAAGTGCAACAGTTTACTATATAGTTTCTAACTTCATTCCAACATAGCTTATCAATGTAAACTGGATTCAAAAAAACACAAGAGAAATGTTACCTGCATGCAAAAATCATTGTTCCAACATGAAACACTAGGTCTATATTTTTTGATTAACAAAAACTGCACATCTGTTTAATTTGGCTAACAGAAAGAAAATGCACATCAAACAAAGATGTTAGTGTATCCTTCCAATAAGCACGTCTATATCAAAGGCACTTCAGCAGAGCACTAACTCTGTAACCTTTTCCAAGTCATTTCCATTTATGCCACTTTAATGCATCTTTCTGTAGACCAATAAGAAATCTCCGACTCCAGAAGCTAACCCTAGTTATTACCCCAAATATCTCTCTCTCCTATGGATTGGGTAAAACATGGCAAAGTTTTGCCTACGTTTTTAAGTTCTTTGGGTTAACACGGAAAGAGTATTATCCAACAGGTGTGGTGTTATAGGAAAAACTGAAGTAATTAGAGGAAAAAACTGGCTGAAGTCGACTATCTTGGGGGTAAAAAAGCGGTTGTCTTTCATTGACTATCCATCTGTAATTTGACTACAACTAATATACTAGGCTAATTTTGCTTCTTTCAAATTGTTTATGTGCCTTGGGTCTCTATGTTGCTCCTATGTTGGACAGAAGAGGATGAGAAACAAAGTAATCTAGTTTTACTTTTCCCCCCTGAGAGAAAGGGGAAGCTGCTTCAGACATTTGCCTTCATGGAAATTTGGAGAAAAATGGGATGAATTGATTTTAATTAACAAAGAGCTTTATTTTTAGGACATATGAATGATAATCTAGAGTTGAAGACAATTACAATTAAAAACAGCTGTTGAATGTGTTCATACTGAATTCTTTGCTATGATGAAAAGAACATGGATATATTACTTCCAAAACTAGAACAAAATGTTGCAAATGCTAAAAGTGATTAAAAAAAAAACTTTTACTTCTCCATTAAATCGAAACATTTTCTAAAATATCTTTTACAAATGTCAAGAGAAAAGCATCTGGATATATACATAATATTCTGAAGGTATTTTTGAGTCTAGGAGAAATAGAATTTCTTTTCCTGCTTATGAACATTTAAAAAATAAATGTTTATTTCCTTTAGTTTCACATATTTTGTTAATAAACTGAAAGCTGCTTATGAACACCTAAATATTTTTAAAATCAAGTTTAAAATGAACATCTGAATATTAATTTTAAAATCAAGTTTAAAATGAATGAATTGTGGGGGACAGAAAAATATCTTAAAGCTGATTTTAGCTTACATGTATCAGTGAGTCTTAAACTAAAGTATGGGGTTTTGTTTTTGTTTAAGATTGCTAAAGTTTTCCTTGACCGTTTCAATCATTTCAGTCTAGAAGCAGGGAGAAAAAAAAATTTTAAATAAAAATGGAAGTATCAGAGCATTCATTTTTCAGATTTCTAAATAACAAGTTAATACCTCATCATTTAGTCTGTGAAGTTATATCCAAAAACAACCAAAGAGCTGCTTTTTCCCTCTCTAACAACCACGTAGCTTCTTGCCTGTCTTCCATGAGCAAGATTTATTTTGGGGTTGGTACAGTGCACATGCTTTTTATTGCATAAAGGGAGATATTGTTTGGCCTTTAAATTCTAGAGAAACATCGAGAACATTTATCATTATTTTCACCTACAGGCAGGAGAACGTAACAGTCCTATGTCACAAGACTATGATGCCCACTAGTTTCGTTTCTAAATGTTTACAGGGGCAGGCATCAAAGCAGCGGCCACATTTCCGAAAGCGACTTTCGGGGTACGCACTTCACCGTTTTTGTTGAGAGAGGGCTACATTGGCTGAGCAGTACTTTCAGAGAACTAACGTCTTGAAGCTACTTCACATTTTGAGCTCTTGGATACTTCAAATTCATGACTCAAAAGTAAATGAAGGGACGCCTGGGTGGCTGAGTTGCTTGGACGACTGCCTTTGGCTCAGGTCATGATCCCGGAGTCCTGGGATCGAGTCCCGCATCGGGCTCCCAGCTCCATGGGGAGTCTGCTTCTCCCTCTGACCTTCTCCTCGCTCATGCTCTCTCTCACTGTCTCTCTCTCAAATAAATAAATAAAATCTTTAAAAAAAAAAAAGTAAATGAAAAGAATAGGCCAGAAAAAAGCATTTCTTGGTATCTTTCTCTTTCATTAGTGAATTGCCATTTGACTATTTACTCTGCTTGAGACACGTCCAGGGACCATGACTGCTCAGTTCCAACTTCTTCAAAAGTTCAGACAGCGGTTTACAAGGAGCAAGAATAAGCACGAGACAGCACACTCACAATGTCCTCGGTGTCAATTCATGGGAATCAGTGGGCGTTCCTCTCGCTTCTTCCAGATATTAGTCTTGCTATCTTTTTTGGCTAGGGGTGGTCTGCCCCTTTTCTTGGTGGGGGACAGACTGGCTTCAAAGCCTTCAACAGCACTTCTTCTTCCCGGAGACTCTTCCCCGGGGTGCTCCAGGATCGCTGCACTCCCTCCATCCAGGATGTGCCTTAGAGCTGGGTCCTCGGGGGAGCAGACAGTGGTTCCGCTCTCACTGCTGCTCAGGTCTAAATCTTCTAAGTAGAGGATCTTCGGCTGATGCATGCTTTTGATGAACGTTTTCTCCCTCTCGAGCCTTCTGCTTGAGTGGTGCTCATTCATGTCCACCCCAGAGTCCAAGCTGGTGTCATTGCTCTGGGTTCTCTTGCCCTTTTTCAGGTCTATAAAGGAGTGTCTCACCTGTGCGACTGGTTTTCCATCAAGAGACACGAACCATGCTCTGGGGTGGGGGGAAGGCTTTCCCTTGGACAGCTCCAGGAGCGTCTGTTCTGAAATTCCCTGAAGCTCTGAGGAAAAGGGAGTCATTACGACAGCTTCGTTTAGTGTTCCCGGAACAGAAACCGACTCTAGTAAGCTGTTTGAGTATCGGCTCCAATCTGAAGTCTGGGACGGCAAGCTCTGCTGACCTTCAAGGGGGATATTCTCTTCCCTGGCATCTGGGGGCTGTTCATGAGAATGCACTGGCATTTTGGGCAGTGTCTGTGTGAAGTTCTCTCTACTTACTGGTTCCATCAACTGACCGTAGACTAACTGTCCCTTTCTTGGCAAAGTAGCTGACTTAGCAGTATGTAACTGCTCTGGAGTGGAGAAGAGGTCAGATGTCTGCAGGATGGCAATGGGCTGACTGTAGATATGCATAAGCTGTTCAGGAATGTGGGAATGTCCATACACCTCTTCATGACCTGGGCGGTATCTCTTTTCTTGTGCATCACCTAGAGATGAAGACAGATTGCTGTTAATATGTTTAGGTTGTTTGGACCCTACATTGGGCTCCAAAGACTGTGATGGGTTTCTTGAGTAGTTGTTTTGATTGGCTGATAGAAATGGAACATCTTCATTGTAGATTTTAAAATTGTCCCGAGTTTTTACCATGGAAACTCTTTCTTCTGCTTCTGCCTTTGCTGGCTCCTTTTTCTGAGGGCTATATGAGGAGTTTTTGGCATTAAATAATTGTGACTTGTCCTCGGCTTTTAATGAAACTTTGACTGAACTGATGTGATTTATGTGTGTTGTTGAAGTTGTCTGGTCTCTCTTGAGGACTTCAAGTTTAGTGATATTTCTTTCTCTTTTCTGTGGAGTACCACACTTATCCCTAGAGTAGAGAAGATAGCAAAAAGTGTTTAAAACTTATGATTTAGAAGAGTCATAAAAAAAAACAACAACCTATCCCATGATATGGTATTAATATATACAATGCTACTGTTAGAGTATATCCACTTTTATTTTAATCTACATATTGTAAAGATCAACCTACTTATTTTTACAAAGAAACTTTGTAATACCCAGAACACACTGACATGATATTATGACAGTTTTCTGTATTTATAAATAATATTTTTCTTACCTGCAATAACAAAGAAGTACAGCGAAAAATCCAATGACAATGAATATTGTTCCTCCTAATATGGCTGTGAGAAACACTGTGTGGTAGGCGCTTATGTCCCTTGCGTCTCCATTTATACCTGAACCTAAATGTGAAACAGAGAAAATATATGGTTTTAGATAAAATTTTCAACCATGTCCTATTCTGGGTACGTGCACACAGAGTAAGTACGGGTACACAGTGCTGTTCCGGGCACGTGCACACAGAGTAAGTACGGGTACACAGTGCTGTTCCGGGCACGTGCACACAGAGTAAGTACGGGTACACAGTGCTGTT